GAAAAAAATTAGGAAATTAAAAAAAATTATGTATTTTTGTGCCCAAAAAAAACATATGAAAAATGTGTGACCAATAAAAATATTTCAATTTTTTTTATTAAATTTTAGTCCATTTTAAACATTAATTTCTGGAATTTTCAAAAAATTCTATATAGTTAGTTTTTAATCTGGAAAAAAATTCCACTAGAATATGTGAAAAGTGTTGATATGGCTATATAACACTGTATAAAAAATACCACATTGACACCAAACTTTTTTTTTGAAATTTTTTATTTTTGGACACAAAATATAACTTAATAACACAACAGTATGGCCTTTGCAAATAGTTCTCTCTACTTTAACCAAGACAACTTGCTTAAATTAAGGTATTTTCTATTGTTTTTTAAAGTTTTTTTTTTTTTTTTTTTTTCATACAGAACCCATAAGAATTTGTTTATGTTTCAAATGAAAATTGACTATCAATCTCAATCAAACCTTTATATAGAAACAGTTTGGAATGTTTTGGCCCAAAAACATTTACATGGACACATTCTTATTAAAAAAATTCAATTTTCCTTTTAATGTCTGTAATACTAGTTATTAGGGTCTTAAAGGGAAACTCCACTGAGATAAAAAAACCAAAAAATTTAAATTTTAATTCTTTCATAGATCAACTGGAAAAAATCTGCAAAGAAAAATATAGAAATACACAAAAAATTAATAAAAATTGATTTCTGTGTGTTTTGCCAAATTTTGAGTTAAAAGTATTTACATGCTTTTCTTTTTTTGGTCTTTTTGCACAAAAAAAAAAAATAATTTTAAAAAATGGGGTGAGCAAATGATCTGAAATTTCATACAACTATTGGGTATGGCCCTTATAAAGGTTTTTTTAAAAATAAAATTTTCAGTCCCCCCGCAAAAAAATGAAAGCCTCAGTGAGCCCCTTTAAAAAAAGATCAGACATCTTATGATACCCGCCCCCATGACTGTATCATCATTTCTGAAAAAGCCTTACTTAAACTTTCAATTCACAATTTTATATTGCCAGTGTTTTAATGGAAATATATTTTTATAAAAAAAAAAAAAATGTGCATAATGTAATTCATCCGTCCTATATGAATATGCCTTGAAAAATAAAAAAAGTGAAAAAAAACAAAACATTATATATTATTCCTTCAAAATTATTAACCACCATGGATGTTTTAAATACATAGGTAATCAAGGAACATATACACCAAAAGTTCAGTAACAAGTGTTTTGAATTAACATAACTTTCATTAATTAAAAATTCAAAAGTTAGTAAAAAGTAAAAAAGTACACATTTATTCAGTTTAAAAAAAACAAGTTCATTATTCCCTTTTTTATCTTGCTTAATAATAGATTAAATCACATAACTTCCAATGTTTCATATTAAAGACCCCCCTCCCTCCCCCCCCCCCCCCCCCCCAAAAAAAAAATATGTCAAGAACTGTGAATGTAAAGGTGTTTAAAATGCTATGAGAAGGTCCATTGCTGTGTCCTCCATTTGGGTCATATTTAACAGTCATATTGAATGGTTGCTGCTGGGAGAGTTCGGGTAGAAATTTTGACCATCTGAAAATATTGTTGTCATGACTGCTGACTTTGCTGGTCTATGGATTTTCATTCTTGAACATAATTGTCTAAACTAAAATTCTTGATCACATTCTGTGTCCATTCCACTATTATCATAGTCAAAAAGGACATTGTATTAAAATCAAGTTCTGAAATTGGCTGATTTTGAAAACTTGCTGTGTTTCCTAAATTCTGTAGGGTTGTACAAAAATTTATGTAACCTGACCTCCGACCCGACAAATCACTCATAGGTTGCATTGTGAGACCTTGATTTCCACTCATATCACTCTGATTATGTACTGATGACCTTCTCTTTCTAATATCGCACGTTGCCATGGTAAACAAGTCACTTGTATTATGGCTTTCAGGCAGAACCGGCTGCTGTTGTGCTAATTTATATGAAGTTTTACGTATGATTTGAGGTCGAACTATGAGACTAGGATCACCATTTGAGTATGAGCCTAGAGCATTATTTGTTGAAACACTACAGTGTGGGTGGTGAATACATATCAGTCATTGCTATCACAAGAAGATTGTTGACTAGAATGTGGTGGGTACATCCCTAACTGGGTATCCAACTGTAGCTGCTGCATTTGATGGTGAAGTGGATTACCCCACATTTTTCTGATGGAACGACTGACGTTTTTGCTGTAATCGATGCTGCAGTAACTGCTGTTGCAATGGCTTCGAACTCTCTCCGAACATTGGCTGCTGAACACTGTCTTGACTCACCACTCGATCCATTTTTCTGCTTCAAGGGTGCATACTCTGTTTTATTTTGCTAACAGTTTATGTGGCTGGAAGATCTACAGTTTCTGATGGTAAACTCATTCTTTTCATGAGTGGTCGTCTGGGCCTTTTTCTGTTGCTGGTTGTCAGTCTGTCCGACGTACTGCTGACCTGGTGAGTTTCACGTCTTCTGCTATGATCTTGTACTAAACTACTTGGCGCCATTTTTATCCCATACACATTATGCACCTGTTGATGCTCAGTTCGTAATTCAACCATTCCTTGGCATTTCATGCTTTCTTTTAATCTCTGTCTAAATGCAATTATACCTTGGGCAACGAGACCGTCTGATTGCTCGTCTCCCTTCGCGGGAAATCAACAGGAGACGTGTTCTGACTTCTGTCATTTATAATGTCTTCAGTATTTTGTCCCTGAATCACTACAGAAGTGCCACCACTGGCTTGAACTATGTTTACCCATTGCTGGGTCAACTGTCCACTGGCGTACTACCACTTGACACTGGATATGTTATATTATTAAAAACCACTAAGACTAGATACAAGGTCAGCTTCTAACGACGAGTCAAAACTTGTAAAAGGAGACCCAGTTGAACTTGTCCCTAGAGACGCTAAACTTGTGTTGCTTAACTGTGAAAAATCACCAAACGCTGAGCTTGGTATTAAACCTAACCCAAAACCATCTCTCACAAAAGTCTGCCCTTTATGCATTATAATATCGTCATTGTCTCTACTGTCCATAATATCAGCTTCCACACCCTCGTCAATTGACGTAGTTATAACATTACTAGTGATGGGCTGAGACGTACAGGCACTAGTAGGCTGTGACAAATACATCTTGTAAACAAACAGAAAACACCAGGTATCTGTATATGTTCTATTTCATTCATGAAAACTCTCTCGCCTTGGCTCATTCCACTGTCTGTAGATTGTCCAAATTGTTTTTAAGCCGACTAACTGTGGCTGATAATTAGGTCCCACTCGTAATATAGCCTGTTCAGCTATGGTACTTGGTCGTCGTCGGTGACAGTCAATCTGCTGGTCTATAGGGAAACTACTCCGATGTTTGCTTCAATCTCTCCAGCAGCAGGTAGTATATGGCTGTATAGTGGTCATAAGCATCATTCTTCAATGCCTATGAAAATATAAGCCATTAGAATAATAATGAAATATTAAAGATAAAATCACGATAAAGTACAGTGTAACACTACTTCTTTACCAGCATAAGATATTAACATGGTGCCTGTTAAAATATACAATGTATAACATGATCAATTTAAGATAAAATACATACTGTATATGATATACAACCATATCCATCTCTTTATTTCCATATTAAAAAGTAACTAATAACTGTATGTAATTTTGATATTGGTATAGGAATATTTTCAAAGGATCTCATTGTTTGGAAGTGAGCTAAAGATTGTCAGCTGTGTACGTTCAAACCCTGTCAGGGGCAAGCCTTTGTTTCCACGAGCAAGAGACTTTACATTCATGGCTTAGTATTGGTTGGTTCCAGGAACAGATTCAATAGTGTTTCAATAAGCTTATAGCTTCAAACACAATTAAACGAAAATAAATTTTTATAAACTCATGTGTGTGAGTAAAAATAATTTAAAACAATAAGCTGGTTAAAATTTATTAGTATGTATTTATAAATTAAATTGGCCGTGCAGTTGTGCTGCACCTGACCAATTAAATTGTGTAAATACATACTTATAAACTTTAACCTACACTTAGCATGGTAAGGTTTAACAAATCCTGAATCTCACCTCCATTGTTTTCTGTTGACTAATACCCAAACTTTGCATGAGTCTCAGAATCTGTTCATTATATTCACCAACTTTAGGTCCATATCCCATCATTGGGCTAGGTGGGGCAGCCTTAGGTGCACCCCCATCCATTTGCATCCATTGATGATTTTTAATCTGTTCCATGGTATAACGTTTACCAGGCTCCAATACTAACATTCGTCGTATCAAATTTTCACATTCTGAAAAAAAAATAATTAGAAAAATTGTTTCTAAAATCAAATCTGTTAAAATTTAGCTGCAAATTATAGCTTTTACTAATTAGTTTGCTCCAATCTATACAAATTTTGTATTGATCCAATAGACAAATATCTAAGCTCTTTATCTCCCAGTTTTACGAAGTTTTTTTCTAAAAGTGACCCATCTAGGAGTCATTTTTATCCTCATGGCATGACCATCAAATTTTCTGTAGAGGTCTTGTAGAAAATGCAACATGCTCAATTGCTTATCGCTGGAATTAAAGTTATTTTCTACATTTAGACTATGCAACTAAAATGATCCCTAGAATAAGATACTCTGACCCTCGTAAATGATATCAACATTTAGCAAAGTCCAACAAGACCATGCCATATGTCAAATCTTAACTTCATGGCAAAAAAAATAAATAATTTGTTCATGTTATTCTAGGTAAACCCAGCAGCAGGACAAATTCTAACCTATCTCTTTGGAAAATAACAACTACACAATGTTACATCAAATATGGGTCTTTTTTTAGATTTCCCATAATCTTCAAATGGACCTGACAGAAACCATTTATCTACTTTTAGTAGAAAACCATACTTATGATCATGATTAAATTTCCTAAAACTCTACAAAAGAGTAAATTACTTAGCAACACTCCATTGCTATGGTGATATATTCTTATACAGAAAGTAATAAAAGAAAACGATATTGGAAAAATTGTGTGAATTGCATTAACAAAGACTATAATAAATTGGTATGAGAATGAATCAGTTCTGGACACAGTTGTGATACTGGTACATTTTTGAAAGTCTGAAGTGACCATTTTTTAAATTGGGTTTTAAGTTGCACAGCTATAATGGGTTTACATACCTGATGACATAAAGAATGGAATCCTAAATCTTCCCGACAGAACACGGAACCGTAAAATTTGCAGATTTTGTCCATCAAATGGAAGAGCACCACATACCAACACATATAACACCACCCCAAGACTCTGTAAAATATAAATAATAATACAGTATTATAATATCATCAAATGGTCAAATACCATACATCAAAACGTACAAAAAGAAAGACCACAAAAAATATAAATGATACAATAAGATCATCAAACTTTATGGTAAAGTATAACATACAAAAACATCACCACAATAAACACAATAAAATGCTGGTATATATTTGTTCTACAGTCTCTATAGTACTTAACAGCTCTTAACTCAATTCTAGACCTTTCTTCAGAATAAATCTCCTGACCACTTGATTTATGGCATCAATTTTATCTCATCAACAATCTAGGTCAGCTTTCTAGATCAGCTTTCTAGGTCAGACAAACACAAAAATAATGAAAACACATTTAATTCTTTCTTTCTTTCCAACCATTATGATTTTTTCAAGTTCAGTAAGGGAAAGAAAATGTCACACCCCAAGGGAATAAACATAGGAAAATGTACAGGCATATCTATAAATGCTAGTTTTAGTATTTATTACATACAGATTATAATTATAACTCATCATTACCCATATATCGATTTGGGGACCAACATATTTTTTGCCTTCAAAAACCTCAGGAGCTGCATAGGGAGGGCTGCCACACCATGTTGCCAGTGGCTCTTTTCCAGTGAAAAAATTACCAAAACCAAAATCTGAAAAATAAATATATAAATATGTAGGCATTTAAAAGCTGCTGTGTATGACTTTGTGCACAAATCAGCACAATATAATCTTTTTTTACATAATAATAAAACTACAGTAGCACTCATAATCATATTTATATTTTTTTTTAATCTCAAATGCACTTGTCAATTTTGCAAGTACTATAAGTCGTTTATGAGGAAAGTAAAATATGCAACATAAAAACTTCAAGTTTCAACGTAACATTTGTCATATATCTACTCCCACATTGTTGTGACAAATCTTAACAAATTTATAACAATAAACTATCTTCAAATATATATTACAATATTCTCAAAAGGTCAACAATATTTCTTGATCTTGTAGGAAAACTTGTCTTCATTTCTAATAATAAGGTACAATTTTGTCTTTTTTTATGAGCAAATAATTATGTTTGTTTTTTTTTGGTCATAAAAAAAATTTTAATCCTCTTATTTATGTAATGGGCACGTCCTGGTTTGAACTTGGAAATTGTAATTTACTGATCTCAGTGATATCAACTAAAGTTCAAAATACAAACATTTAGATAAAAACATGTGTCTCTAAAAAAATTTTAAATGTTTTTTTTTCCCCCAAAAAGAAAGAGAAAATAACAACAGCAGAATGATATATACTTCAAAATAGACATTAAGTCAGATATTAAGTCCTATATCTGGTTGTTTGTTCAATTTGGCTTCAAATTTATTAAACAAGAGCTTGGATGTTATTTTGCATTTTTACAATATACAGCATAAAAATCTTTTAATTCAAATATCCTTATTAGGCATATTAATATACTCCTCCTACATATTATATTTCTTGTCTGATTTTATATTTTCCTTTTCCAGCAGATTTTGTTTTTAAGGCATAATTTTGTCACCATATTTTGTGTAATAATAGAACTAATATTAATTTGTTCCTATCAGCTAATTAAAAGACCACATATCTATTTTTTCCTCAATAATACAAAAAAATAATACATGTTGCTTAGAAATAGACATAACTATAGAAACCAGTATAAAAACATACTGCGGTACATTCCTATACATTTTCAAGGCTATATGAAGATAAATTTAAATGTCAAATACAGAAAATGTATAATTAAAGTCCATTTGTAAAATGATATAGTATCATGTATGGTAAACAGATACTGTGCCAATATATACATTAGAAACCAATTCTGTCCACAGCATGTGCTAGACAAGAAATATTCCACATTCAACAGGGGTGTAAAAATATATAACAAAAAATGTTTGGTGAATATTATCACCATTCACTCATTTGGATAATTTGAACATCAAGAAATCAAAATACAGTACATGTATTTCATTTAACTACTGTATAAGAATATTTCTTTTTTTATTTTGTGAATATTTTGTAAAAAAACAAAAGATTTTAAAAGAGTAGACAATAAATTAGCTTCAAACTATATGGAAATTAATTTGATGTATTTTTTCTTCATTTCCATTACAATGTTATGAAGTATTACCTTTCATTGGCTTGTAGTTATAATAAAAACTGCCAAGAATATAGAGCTGGGCAAGCCTGCTGTCTTATAATACGACCTCAATAAGCTGCTTTATTTCATATGATTTGATTTGATGGGATTTAAGTCACCCTGACATTATTAATTTGATTGATTTTATAATTATGATTTGATTGATTTTTATAATTATGATTTGTTTCTATGTTTGATTGGGTTTTACGTCACACCAACACAGTATAGGTCATTTGGCGACATTCCAGCTTTACTGGTGGAGGAAGACCTCAGGTGCCCTTCCGTGAATTATTTCAGGCACCAACGGGCACCTGAGTAGAACCACCGACATTCCGTAAGCTAGCTGGATAACTTCCTCACATGAAAGAATCCAAAGTCCCTGTAGGGATTCGAATTGATTGATTTTATATGATTTGAGTGTGCACCTGGATAGAAAAGAACCACCAGTGTTCTACTCAGCTGGATGGCTCCCACAAATGAAATAAATCCTGACAATGATGTGATTTGTACCAACAGCCGTGAAGGTATAGAATTTTAACCACTTAACCAGGGATTCCCCTACTTAAATTGAAATATATAAAATCAAAATCCCACCTTCAGTTACAATTTAAAGTCAAGAATTCAAAGCAGAAAGAGTTAATTATACAATTTTTTCGAGACTTTAATTAACATTTTTTAAGTCTTTCAGAGTTAAAACACAAAGTTTGAACTTGTCACAAATTGCAATATGAAAATTGTGTAAGATATGAACTTGCATAGATCAATTAAATGACACATTTACTTATTAATTACGCAGAATTTCAAATTGCTAATTAGGCATCACCTTTGAAATGTCACAGAATATTTTTTTCAAAATGATATTGTTTAAGTTTATGAACATTTTCTTTTAAAGTTTACATTATAATATTTTTTCGTTTTGTTTTTTCAGTGGTAAACATAAGTTCAGTAGAGAGCTAGCTAACAAGTGAAATGACTAGATCCTGACATTGTTTACAAGTGTAAAAGGTTGCGAGCATCTTGTCTTACATCAATCATTCTCAAGTTATTGTGTGAATGACGTAACAACTCCGATTTTTATGAGAAAATGAATGCTTCAAATACAACCTAAACTTGTAATTGAATGACTTTGTTGGAATGTTTTCCCCCTGTATGATAATGTTCATGCGGCTTATTTTTAAACACTTTTATGATTTATTCACTGATTACACACTTTGAAGTGTTTCAGGCATGAAAATGTAATTTTGTTACATCTTATAAAAGGGTTACCTGTAGTTTGGTTGAAATGTAGTTAGAATAGAATAAAGCTGTGATATAAATTAGACCTGCAAATCAGAATTTCTTTCACTTTTTTTGTTTTAATTCAATTGAATATCTGTATTAGAACTGTCTAGCATTTAACTTTGAGGCTGAGCTGCCATTAAAGTTTTTTAGTGTTTTTATTTGGACCCAACATTTTCAATATAAGGAATTTCTGTATCAACAGGACATCAATGTTCTTTATTATTTGAACCCATCAGCCTGCTGGTGGTCCTACAATCACTGCAGACATAGATGTGCCGCCACATTCATGACTTCTGATTATGGTCAAAGCTGACCTATTTTGCCTTCTCGGTTATTTTTGCAGAAGTATAGTTCAATCATATTCATGCTCAATGAAAGCTTACAGAAACCAGTTGGGGTGTGATTCCTGGCATAACTAGTACTGGTATCACATGACTAAGATTACATGGTGATGATAGAACCAGTGGGAGCAAACCCATCAGAGGCAGACAACTTATTAACCACTGATCTATTGCCTCCTACTAGTAAAGTTATTTCTGGTCAATTAAATATTAATCCGCTTGCCTCATACACACCACCCCTGAATGAGACTAGAGCATAACTGTTACAAATCTGATAAAATCTCAAAACTACACATCAAAAAAACATTACACATCAAAAAAACATATGAGCCGTGTCACGACAAAACCAACATAATCCGCGCAGTCTGATCAGGATCCATGCTGTTCGCTATCAGTTTCTTTACTTGTTATAGGGTCTGTAAGCGAACAGCATGGATCCTGATCAGACTGCGCAGATGCGCAGGCTGGTCTGGATCCATGCTGGTCGCAAACCCATTATGTTGGTTTTGTCGTGACGCGGCTCATATCTTCAATTAACGTTCATCATCAGTGCATGATGCACTCAAATATTCCCACATAACATTAATTCTAATTCAGATTAAAAACATCAAAATTCTTGTCCACCCACAAAAAAGAAGCAACCACAACATAGTTTAAATATCAATAACGTAAAACCTTTTCAAGTATGCAGATGTTTTTCAATGCATAACATTATAAATCTCCCTTTGATTTGGTTTCAAAATCTAATAATGCTAAAGAGGCAAAACAACAAAGTTAAACACATCAGATGAATATTATAACACTGTCTGCCACTCAATTTAGATAATGTGGGTTTGATCCCTACTCTTTTCTCATGTGACAAATACTGGCAAGTTTGATTAGAAATAAAAAAAATTCTTGCATTCTTTAACATCATCATGTTTAACCCTCAACTGCTAACTTTTTATGTTAGATGTATTTTGTATAATTATTGTAACCTCTTAAAATTACTATGGTGTTTGGATTGCTCCAAATATTGAACATATATACAAATACAATGTGGGAAGGGTTGAATAAATAAGTTGAAATAAACTGACAACAGAAATGTGATATTCAAAAGAGAAAAAAAAAGAAACATGCTCAAGATGTTTATGTTAAATATATCTTTATTTAAGATTCTCTTTGTTCTCGAGGAACAATCAAATCAACCCACATACATTGTGTGATATACAAGGTAATACAATGATGTTACAAGCTAGTAAGAAATGATGTAATTTGGCAGTCATATAAAAGTAATAAAATGTATAGAGCAAAGAGATTCATAAAGTATTACCTGCTATTTTGATATTCATGTTGGCATCAAGTAGAAGATTTTCTGCCTGGAATAGACAAACACAGATTATAGATAGATTAACCAAGTTTTTATATAGACACAGTTTATATTTAGATTACTGTTCAGATTTTTTTGACTTTTCTTCCTCGTATTTGTTTGGTTGAGTTACCAACCTTTTGTGTGTTTCCTCACACAATTTTAGTTATGTCAGCCTGCACGTGTATCTGTGCAGTACGTATGAACTCGGTCTCAAGGAAAATTCTATTGCACTCGTTACGCTGAAATTATATAACTATTATGCACATTTTTATTTGTTCCGTTCATAGTATCCTATGGAACGTATTCAGCTTCTTTGTATGAAAATAGCTGTTCAATCAATAGATTATAGATTATATAACTGTCAATTGTGCAGAATCATGATGGCAATGAGACAACTTATAGCCCTCCCAACAATGTTTCAATATCAAAAAGCTATGTCACTTCCTGCCTTATTAGATAATGAATCAAGTGCAGCAGGTTTCTAGATTAAGTACAATTGATTATTTCATAAACATTACAGGGAATAGAGTCTACATAAATTTACTGAAATAAAATTCAACTTGAATCATTACTACTGAATTATTGACTGCAATTCAGGGCCAATGTATTTTACCCCACTTTTTTGAGCTTTACTTCTTTTATTAATGATCATAAGATGGTGAAATGCTGCCAAGTAGATAACATGTTAGACTTGTAATCTAAGGAATTGCTGGCTGCATGGGTTCAAACCCTATCAAAGTCCAAACTTTGGTTCCTTAAGAATGAAACTTTACCCTCATTGTTTAGTAATGGTCACCTTCCAGAAAAAGATTCTATAGTGTGTCTTTTACCTAAAATATATATCGAGTGGCTGCATGGCCAAACGGTTAAAGCGTCGGACTAGTAAACTAAGGATTGCTGACCACAATGTGTTCGGCAAGCCGTTGTTTCCTCGAGCAAGAAACTTTACATTCATTGCTTAGTACTGGTTGGTTCCAGGAGCAGATTGGAGTGTGTCTATAAGCTTATAGCTTCCTAATTAAAATATATACCGCAATGAACGTTTATCTGAACTGGTGCATGTTGGGAAACAAAAGGCCGAAGAAGCTCTCAGAGCCTAGTACATGTTGTATACCTAAACTTATTTAACATATGGTGAATGCATCTTTACTTTGTTTGGAACATTAATGTCTGCTGAAGACCATGTGTGAAGTGCAAATGATTTGATTAATGCCATTTAGAATCTGCAGATGTAATAATAATGTGTGAAAAAATGTGCATTTAGCAATGCAATGTTCCTACATAAATCTTAGGTCCTGGTAATTGTTTTCTATTTTCTGAAAATCAGTGTTGCTAGCTTAGAAATTATCACATGTGTAGAATGAGGTAAAATTAAGTTTGATAACATTAAATACTATCAATGTCTGTTAATATTAGAGCTCTAATTGTGTTGTAATTATTGTTAATTTGTGAGAGAAAATTTTAACCTAATTTTATTAAAGGATAAAGGATGTAATGTTGAAATATCTGTTCAATTTAATGCTTTCTGTAGCAATAAATGAGCATTGCTGAGAGCTTCCAAAAGTAAAGTTTAGTTAATTTTTTTAAACCGCTTTATGAAAAACCAAATAAATGGGGTTTGCGCAGCGTCAGGGATCCAGCGTTGGGGGGCATTTTATTGTATTTTGTAACGCCAAGGATCTTTGGATTTTGGGGCCTTCGGACAATGGGGCTTCTGATCCATGTGGTGCAAAACCCATTATTTGGTTTTGGGACCGTCATTTGTTTTTGAATGCTTTGATTAAACTTTGCACATTCATTAAAAATCTATTTTTTTCATTTTATAACTGTTAAAAATTTTTGGCAGCAACTCATTTTTAACTTCGACCCAATAGTAAAGTTTAGATCACTTTCGATCAAATCATATTGGTGCATTCTGGGGGCAATTGGTGCATCTTACATATTTTGGGGCCTCTTGACATATTGGGGCATCTGATTACAATTGGTGCACTCTGATCATTTTACCCTATTTGGGGACTCTGATCACATTTGGTGCAACCCGATGACATATTGGTGCATTTTGAAAGACATATTGGGCACTCTGACGAAAATTGGTCCCTGATCACATAGGTGCAACCCGATGAATTTTTTGACCTGATGACTATTGGTGCACTCTAAACATTATGGCCTCTGTTATTTTATCGTTCTTTTTTCCCTTTTAAACATCTAAAACATGATCAAAGTTTTGTCCAATTGGGAAATTGACCAAGTCCCTTTGATAATTTTATTATTCATAGTAATTTTGCAAAAAAAGACTTCCTAATGTAATTATATTGATCAGATTGTTCACTTTATATTTTTTAAAATCATAATTAAATTTAAATGGGTTCTTTAAAAAGGGGGTTTTCTTATACGCAAAATTATAACTAATATTTATAAAGTTTTACATATATCCTCAGATACACTTACGTTTATCAGTAAAGTACGTTAACTTGGGAAGGGACAGCTTCTACGTAATAGGGAAAGGCTGGCCAGTGTTTACTAAAAACTGAATAAATTATTTAACCATATTACAATACCATTAGTTTGTGAAATGGAAGAAAAAAATTTGTTGTCAATGTTTGTACCTACAATATACATAACAGGCATATCCTGTTGTATGTATAATACCATAAATTACACACACATAGTCATTGTTAGGAAAAAACCAATCCTTAGACCCTTACAACAGGTCCTGCCATGAATATCAGGCTAATGAAATTTGTCACAAAAAAAACCTGAGCTTCAGGCATATGCATAAAAACTTGCACCCATGCAACATCCCCTAACAACCGGACATGCATGACTTAATTGGACAATTTTACAACATCCCCTAACAAGCAAGCAATGAAAAATTTTCTGTAATTGGGGTTGTAAAAATTACATAAAAATTGGGGCTTTGACCTTTTGCTTTTAAGGGCTCTATAAAAATTGGGAAAACCAAAATATTATTTAAAACAAAAGAATAATTTTTCAAAATTTGGTTTTCTACAATGTTGTTTGTTTTTTTCCGAAGTAAAAAATTCCCTTGTATTTTTTCACCTTTATACTAGGTGTAATCATTTCAATCTAAATTTACCTGAAACTTTAATTTCACCATAACATTTGGTGCTGTTTTTAACCCAATGTTTTCTATTAGGAAATAAATTGGTTGGACCGATGAAAATTTTCATTTAAAAGACAATTGGGAAAATTATACATAGTTACTTTAATAACCCCTCTACCCCAGGTTATTGGGAAAACAGTTTTACTTTTTTTTGCCTCAATTAGCAGTCTATGGATACAGGTTTCCCTATGATGATATAATCATAGTAATATTTACATTTCAAATTTCCTTTTTAAATACAAAACAGTAAAAAGCATCCCCGAAATGCTTTATTGTCAACATAATGTATGCATGCAGGTTTACATGATAAAGGTTAAACCTCTTTTATCTTCTAGGGTATTCCGCCCGTTCATGTTTATACACAAGATGTAAAATATTACCTGTAAATAACTAAATAAAGAAATGTAAGCTTACACGAACATCTTCTGCAATGCTATTCTTTAAATAAAGTAAACTTCTGAATGGGTAACTTTTAATATCTCAGTTCTTATTCCTAATAAAATTCAACAATTTGTGATTTTTTTCAAGTAATTTGAAAAAGAGAAAAAAAAATTGAAACAAATTTCAAAAAATTTAGTTGCATTATTTAAATGATTCATTTCACACACGTGTATGCGGTCAATGACATTCATCTACATATTTGCGTCATTTTTTTTTTCAACTCCTCCAAAAACCTCAAAATACGTATAACACCCAAAACAAACAAAACCTGTTCTTCTACAAACACTAAAATATTTTAATCTTCATTCACATACTATATATAACTCCTGGACAAGTTTCATGTACAAACATTTCTTTGTTGCCTTTTTCTATCATCCATTCAACTTTATGAATATTAATAGCACCCGGTATTTGCGATTCGAATATTACCTTACTTTCGAATCCACAGTGACGTAAAAAAGAGCTCTTTCTAACATTGATTTGTAACCTTTGATAGCACATTTTTAAGTTGTTATTTCAAAACATGCTTCTTTTCCTATTGTCACATACTCTGCATGAGATGGTTATATCATTATATCCGATCAATGCAGGCTTTTCGCAAGGATTAAAAAAAGATAATATTGGCCTTCTTTTCTACTTTAAAGAAAAATATTCACATTTTTCATTACCATTATTGTAAAAGGTTCATAAAATAGGAATATATCAAGTAGAAATCAAATGGTCGAAAAAAAAAAAAAAAAATTATTCAAACATATTATGCAATTCTAAAGATCTTACTTTTTCTGCATTAATCTAAAAAAACATTCCCCCTGCCCTATTTGTTCTAGCTTATAACCTATGATGATTATCAACAAAGTTGCAATGCTTCATATTTCAATTATATACAATGTTTCTATTTTATACAGCATCATTTCAAATACAATTATCTTAAATAATAATAAAACATCGACACAAACTGAAAACAAATAAGTCTGTTTTCAAAACAGTTACAAAATCTTAAATGTCAATGCATAAAATCCAATGATAATTATAGATAGCATATTAAATTCTTGTGCAAATTTCGCTAATTATATCCTAAATTTATTGCCGAGAATTATTCTGGAGAAAATGTTGAGTAACAAAATAATCAACAAAAAAACAAAACAAAACAAAAACAGCAACAACAATTTAACAGCAAAATTCCAACATGAGTCATGATATTTATTTATTATGCAATACAATTAGGATTTTTTAGGAAAAAAAAAGTTATGAAATAAATAAACTAACACATGACTTTAATGGAAATACATGCAACCTATTTAGTAACAGACAATTATTCCATGTGAGTGAAAATATTTCTAAGAAAGTGAAAAGACAATGTATAAAATCTTTCTTTGTTTATTTCATTTTACGCCTTTTTCCAAGAGTATTTCAGTCATATAGGCGGATAAAATTTTTCTTAATATCTATCTAAACTTTGAATGCTTTGGGTTTATTATCAATATATAAAAAAACAATTCAATATAAACAGTTACACACTAAATTATTTATCAACATCTCTAAATAAGAGTCACTTTGTTGCTCTTAACAAAAATAACTTGAAAACAAACTATGAAAGAAATTTGAAGAAAAAAATAATCAAATTCAATATGTTAACCGGTTGTACCTTGAGGGAGAAAGGAAAACAATAAATTCTTACAAATTAATTTAGCAGAAGAAAATAAAGAATGGTAGCACCATGTGAAATGATACCCTGCTGCAATGACGTAGCATGTAAAATATCAAAGTTCAGGACTGCCATTTCTGCTCTGAAAGTATCAATACCGCACTGATTCTATTTGTTTAATTGACGTAGTCTGTGACGCACTTGAGATAGTTTAGCTTCAGTTCTACAGCCATAATTTCCCTCCAATAAAAAACCCACCACTCATCTAGTCAATACACAAACAGCTGATCAGTGGTGATTGGCACTAAGTTAAATGCTCAGCCATTCATTGGTATCAATAAAATCTACTCTTTCATTTTCTTTATTTCACTCAAGTTTTTCTCCAGCTTCAAATCGTTGAGAAAAAAGTGGTTTATTGGTTTAATTTACATATTTTTATCATCAGTTTCTCTCTATTTTTTCTGTTATGTTTGTTTTCTATCTTGTGTCTTTGAGAAAAAAACAACCATCTATCTGGTAAATTCTACAGTTAAAATTTCTTAGAATTACCAGAGACATAGTATATAGTGTCTCTTGAATAACCCGTTATAGGTCACTTAATTTAAAACAAGATAAAAATTAATTTAATCATCCGTTTTATAAATACAAGTGAGATTTTTTAAAACTCCCTTTGTACATCTTTAATTTCAAAAACTTCTTTGTTACCAAAGCAAACTTTATCTTAAAAACAATTCACAAGTTGTGTAATTTATCATAATTATTTATTATATGATGCTGTTATTTTAGAAATGATGATGTTTATGATGATGATTATCATCATCATATATCATATCAGGTTATATATTATATAGAACTAATTTTATGAAATGAAATACATGTAGCTCCAGTTTGAATATGCAACTTTCAACATTAGATACTTACTAACACTGTGCCGTCTAAAATTTACTTAAGCTAAATACTTATTGTATAGACTTTCCATTATAAAGAAGAAACCTGGCAATTTCAAATTAATTACCAAGACTTGGCAATTTCATATTCATGGAAGAGGCCACTAGTGATCGGCAACTAGTGATCGGACAGTTACAGATCGCAAGCAAACTTAGAGACACAAAATATTGCTATTATAGTTAGAATAAAACCTTACCTTGAGATCACGATGAACCACCCGGTTTTTATGACAATAATCTACAGCATTTATAATTTGCCAAAACTTTTTTCTTGCTTCAGGCTCTGTCATTCTGCCATGTTGTGCAATGTAATCTGTAATGGACATAACAAAAATATTAAACATTTAACCTATTGATTCTTGATAATGATATTTCTAATACTTTGAATATTGGAATTGTCAATGAATTTCTAGGGAGTGGTGGCCAAGCGGTTAAGGTGACACTGCCTCTTAACCCAGGGATCATGGGTTGGAGCCCTAATCAGGTCACCATCATGTTTCTTCATGTGACACCAGTACTGGTCAGGTTCAAGGAACCGGACGTGAAAGTTATTAATAGAAGTTTCAAGAACCTATTTCGCAATCAAGCATATATGTTTAAATAAATCAATTTCTATATCAAAACACAAAAATCTATAGGAGCAGAGTCCGGATACACTGCATGCTGGCTGGCCTAGCTCTGTGTAATTGTTTCCTATGAAAGTCATTATCACAAGCTCTAGGTCAGAAAATTTAACAATACCAAAAGTATGCATTGTTTTTGTTTTTGACATTATAAATTTCACAAAAAAACAACAAATAACACATTTGTTGCATACATCTGATGATATATTGAAAACGCAAAAAATAAAAAATGGAAAATTTAAAATTTTGAGGTTTTAATAAAAAAAAAAAAAAAGCTGGATTTTACTTTTTAAAAAGAATCAGTCACCACAGGAATAGGGGGCTAGTTTTTAAATAACTAAAAAACCTTTCTTTTTTTTATCTTTTTTATGTATGAGGGATAAATTTTTGTCGAAAAACAACCCAAAAATGTCTTGATAAGGTGAAAGGTTAGTACCTTTCTGAAAAAATATGTCTGCTATTTTAAGATTACTTTTTTCCAATTTTAACGGAACTTTACAGCCAATATTTTAAAAGAATCACCACAGCTGTACTTATGAATAAAGGTTCATTGGTCATGTACATGTAAGACAAGCTTTTCCACTATTTCATCACAGAATAACAAGATCTTTCTAAATTAATCCAAAGCTATGACCCACAGATGCCTTCATTAATGATCTGCTTTATTAATTAACTTAACATTAACAGACAGCTTTGAAAATCAGTTCTGTTAACCATCAAAACAAAACTGGTTCACAAAACTTCAAAACAAAACTCAGGTTCACAAAACTTCAAAACAAAACCAGTTCACAGAGCATCAAAACAAAACCAGTTTTGTTCACAGAGCTTCAAGGCAAAACCAGTTCCCAGAGCATCAAAATAAAACCAGTTCTGTGCACAGAGCTTCAAGGCAAAACCAGTTCCCAGAGCTTCAAAATAAAACCAGTTCTGTGCACAGAGCTTCAAGGCAAAACCAGTTCACAGAGCTTCAAAATAAAATAAATAATATAAATGGTTTGATGAGGAAACAAGACTTAGTATTTCTCATGATTTTCAAATTATGTATTATTCTGCAATTAGATACAATTACAAAAATAGCAGGAAATGATAATGAGGCTTTGCAAAAGATAAAAAAGCGAAACATCTTTTTCTAATGCCACATTAACAGCAGATAATTATTCTATCATTTGGAGATCAATATACCCTCGGCACATAGAATTAATTACCCTATCACAATAACAAGCTCACAAAAAAAGCAATTGTGTCAAGAAAAGTCTCTTTTTACAGACGAACTTACGTCATTTTATCCTAAAATCATGATTTTGTTACTATGGTAACAGAATACAAACAAGTTTAAGTGTACGCCTGATATTTCCTCACAAAAAAAATCGTGCAGAATAGCTTTAACTGTTGCTAATTTGAGCTTACTCAACTTTCAATCTCAATCATTGTAAGTGTCTACTATTCTATTATTAAAAATGCTAAAAGAGAATGAAACAAATCTAATATTTCTAATAATATTAAAACAGCAAAGATTTATGTAGTAAGGCCATCCAAAATGATCCTTAAAAAAATGTTTGTTTGCTGTTACCCGACCCAGAATTTCCAAGGCGGGCAGGTAGGTCGATTTTTTTCAATTTAATTTATTATTTTTTAATTGAACTGTACTCCCAACGTAGACATGGAATTTCAAAATGCTTGACAATAATTATAGGCTTTGATAATATAAATTATTAACTAAATGCTGATTTAATAAGAACTTCATTTTATTTCTTCTATCTCTCAGCTTTTTATCTATGAATATGTGACTTTTCAAACATGATATCAAAAACTTTCACACTAAAATGAGTGTCTCTCTCATAAAATGTTTTAAATATTTCCAAACAATGTGTTATGTCAATTGAAGTTCATAACAAAATAAATTTCGTGAGTGCAAACAAACATTTTTTTAAGGATGGTCTAACGTATAATTCAACTTCTCCTAACATCACTTCAAGTACTGTTAGAAAATTAATTTTATCAGATGTCTAAGGTCCATGCCAGGGTTATTGTCACAAAAATTCTTAGTAAGACTCTATTTCATGGAATTGAGCATTAAATTTAACAATACTTAAAAGTCATGGAAAAAATAATTAAATTAAGTACTGCATTTATATTCAGAGATTGTAGAAATGGTTATAAGAAATAAAATGGTAGCATAACTACCCTTGGCAAGTTTCAAATCCAGCATTATAATTATACAGTAAGTTGCATTTAATGATTAAAATTCTGATACCTTAACCACAGTGCCATGCGCTAACCACTGCACTGTGCCATGTGGTCTTAAAATACCTTACATTATAAGCTGTATTACAAAGTTATCAGTCAGGTCTTACATTTAACTTATTTTTATATTTCTCTTACATGCCATGTCTGTTTGAATTACCCACGTCATTATGTCGTGTGGAACAGTTTTATTAGACAGTTTTCGCCTACAACTGAAGTTACTTTGCTGTTCCAATCACCATGATTTTTTTTCCTATCAATAAGAGTTAAGTATAGAGATGACTATAAATAGTATATAAATATCAGGAGGAGATGCCAATAAAACACATATATCACACCTGATACTTTAACTTCTCATAAAAAATCATGTGGTGCCAATTTCACAGAGGCTATGTAAAAGATGTACCAATTTGGGTTAACACTTAAAAAAGATGTTTATTAAACTAAATAACACCTTTAAAAAATCCTGATCATACAAAAGTCAAATTAAATAATTAATTTTCTTTTCATAATGTTTATCGAAGCTTTAATATATCGGGAAATTTGAAACTAAATTGGCTTTTTAAAGCCCAGTTTGAGTGCATGCACACTGACCTGACAAAGACGAGTCATTTACTGAAGAGATTTTTTTTTTAAATAAAAACAAGCCAATTAAAAAAAAATCAAAAAAATCTAATTTAAAAAAAAAACCCAAACAAAACAAATAACACGCCACCTACTCATTAAATAATCATTAAAAAAAATGCAAATTTAAAAAAAATATTTCCACAAGGTCAACCATTTGATAACAGCAAACTTATGTCTCGTTGAAGTCTTTCATCCTTAACTTGTGGTTGCAATTGAAGCAAAGCAGACCATCAGGTCAGTCTGCGCATTCATGCCATCCGATCATGGTGACTGCACTCGGTTGGCTATTTAGTTATGAGATTTTCCCTAAAAACCATGAATGGGTTTGTCCAGATTGAAAGATGGACAAGTCCATTTAAGATGTTTAGACTTCAGTCCGTTGGTTGCAAAATTCTATTCCAGTTAACATATTATGCCTGGTATGGGTTAAATGCACCTAAAAATGTGGCAGAAAAGCCAGACTAACATTTAACAAGAACTACATTTTTTTTCTCTTGTAATTTCTATAAGGAGAATAAATCCTGTTATGCAAATACTCGACATGATGTAACAAAGCTATTAAAATAGAACAGTCAATATGTGAACTGATTTGATCAAGGAAGATGCTTTGAAATTGTGACAGTTTACCACAAACCAGCTAAGATGGGCAATTCATCAAACGAGTTATGACGTCAATCTAGCATGTATACTGTCGACTTGTCTATAAAAAGACCCAACAATATCTAGATAGTAAACAAAGAAACTGGTGATTATAGCAAATTATTCAGTACAAGGGCCTATTGTAAAACTGAGAAATTAACAACAGTTTATATTATCAAGTATCAAAATGCGCAGGCAATAGTCGTAAAATTTAACATTATAATTGATATTAACCCCAATAAGTGACATTAAGAGATTCACTTATCACCAATAGGAGGCCAATAAACTAAAGATTTTGCATATAAAATGTGTGCATTAATATTGACATCCATAGTTCGCCACAATTCATGCAATCAAGTACTGGATAGGTGAGAAATTTCTTAAAATGAAATGTAACAGCATGCAGCAATAGCAATTTTTCCCATACGTTACTGGACGCATCAATATTCAAGCACGCTAACGATCTTTGCAAACTTGTATGCCTGAAAGCATTTTCTTATTATACAATTAACAGTAATCAGTTTTACAAAGGCAAATGGCAAACGTGACGTCAAATCCTAACATAGCTCTATTGATTGCCAGTACTCGTTACAAAATTATATTTTTCTATCCAATCTAGAATTATCTAACAGAGAATTGAGCACTAAGATTGGTCAGGCTATTGTTCTAGTTCTACTGGATTCTATTGCATAGCCATAATGACGTAAAAGCAATTTAAAAATGTGATGCATCTTTTACCCATATAAAGAAACTCCAAATGTATTACGTGTAGCTCAGTAGACCATGATGTATGAACAAAAAGCTGTAGTCTTTTACAGATTGTCCATTTAATTTTACAGATGCTAATGACATATGTTAGGGATTATCATTTATGTATAGGTTAAGTTTATTAGTATGTATTTACAAAATTAAATTGTTCAGGCACGGCATAGCCGCGTGACCATTTTAATTTTGTAAATACATACTAACAAATTTTAACCAGCTTAGTGTTTTAAATTATTTTTGCAAACAGTCGATTTACTAGACTGATCAACGGTTTGCTGATTTACCAAAGTAAATGTGTTAAGATTCGTTTGAAATACTGCAATTCTATTGGACAACAAATAATTTCAAACACTAAGGACCGTAATGTATCTGTTTAACATCCCCAATGTCGATACTAGTATCTTTATTACCAGAAACCCCTCTAGATTTCTTTTGGCAGTTTTCAGAAATCTATTTTTAGCTTATTTTTTGTCACGCAAGAGAGTGTTTGTCACTGTTTCATTATTATCTGCAGATTTCAATATGTTGTCTTAAATGTAGGTTCATTAGGGCCTGTAATCCTTATATAGGCACTCTTGTGAATTGCCATGAAATAAAATTTCATTTAACAAGTTCAATAAATTTTTACCAAATATATTTTCTTTCACATTTTAAGATATTTCATGATATTGGTATTCATTTAAAAGACTCTTTTCTGTGTGATTGTGAGAAAGGGAAATAACTCTAGCAATACAAGTCATTTAATTATGGCCCTTGTCCTATAGACATCAGAAAGTATGCCAAGAATGCAGTCAATACTTTTGACACTTTTCAATTTTCGGGAAAAACTGCATGATTTTAAAGAATTATTCTTTCAGGAACTAACCTCAAATGGTCCCTGCTATAGAAGGGAAAAAAACCTGCTGTGAAACTATAAAAAGAGACTTACCAAAGATTTCACCATTTGGAGCATACTCTGATACAAGGTACAGCATATTCTTTGTTTCCATAACCTGTAAAATAAACAATACTTAAACCATACTTTCCTACTGTAAAATAAACCATACTTTCGTACTGTAAAATAAACCATACGTTCGTACTGTAAAATAAACCATACTTTCCTACTGTAAAATAAACCATACTTTCATACTGTAAAATAAACCATACTTTCATACTGTAAAATAAACCATACTTTCCTACTGTAAAACAAACCATACTTTCCTACTGTAAAATAAACCATACTTTCGTACATTAAGATTGTCTTAACAATGGTCAACATCTATAAAAGACAATCAACTGTTTTATAAGTGTATGATGTAGTTACTAGGACTAAGGTAATTACCAACAACCTCGTGTCTAAAATCTTTTTTGGTCGCTATAATGACATTTCATAACCAAAATATGTGTTTCAGCTACTAAATACATAATTGGTTTCAATAATATCACTATACAATGTTTGCTTTAGATTAATATCAACAATTCAACCTTTTTATAAAAAAAAACATTTTTATTGTGATGCTTATTCAATAGCCTTTTATTGCTTCAAAAAAACCAGCATGACAGGTTTAACAACATTAGGCTTTTGAAGTCTCGGTATTTTTAGAAAGCACTTGACACTGAGACAAATACTGCATGATCTATCAATTATTCCAAGTTTCCTGAAAATTATTTCACAGAAAAAAGTCTTCCCTTGGAAAAGCAACACTGTCACTATCTTTCACTTCATGAAAGTTAAGAACAAATTACCATGCCTTCAGACTTTAAGTAGCAAAAAATTCACTCTAGTGCACAGAGTATTAGCAAAACTTATTACTTAATACTATGTACTGTCATAATTCTAAATCCTGTCAGGAAATCTACATCATAAAATAGCTTAGCAAGATTTCTTAGTAATGTTTAACAGTTATTTTTACAACTGAACATGATTTATTAGATTAATGGCAGTTCCTTAGTATAATAATATTATATAGTATTAATATTTTGTATAAAATGGAAGTCACTAAAATATTTTATGACTGTAACCTTTAGTGATTTGTTTTGATTGAACTTGAAAGTTGCAAATTCCCTATAAAACTTACTCCTTACAATTTTGGGGATACCAAGATGAAAATCAGAAAACGTCTGGCAACAGTATTCTCCAAGTCACCCAGTCTGAGTGTATGAGTGTGCTGACTGGCCTGACTCTATACTGGTGGCAAAGGCTAATTATAACTTACAGTTTCAAAGGGTTCAAAAACCAATCATAAATAGAGTGATGCAAGTAAAAATTTTGGAGGTCAGAGACTGCAAAATGCCTAACATTGGAAGTTACTATAGGTAAAAAGGAAAAGCATTACATTATGGAAGTCACAAGCCAAAAACTCACAAACTTCCACAAAAAGATGCCCTAGTGATGAGGTGGTTTTCAGGTTAGAGGTCATGTATAATAATCACAGATTTCAAGCATGAAGATACACATACCCAAGCAGAACCACTGACATGCAAAGTATTTAAACATTGCCATAGTAGGATTCTAACCTGGGTATTATTTATACAAGTAAAATGTTGACAGAGCTCACAAATGCCATTATATTATATTTTATTAACTTGGCAACAGACATCATAATCTGGCTACATTAAGATTTCTAACCCATGTAATGTTATTATGATTTTGAGAAAATCACATAAATTCAATGGCTATAAAACATTTTCAATCAGAGTTGTTTTAAACCAGGGAAGACAGTTACTTCCTAATGGCCTTGTTTACCATGTAAATATGTTTTTGTTTTTCAGAAGTAAAATGTTTAACACAAGTTTATAAATAAGAATGGAATGTATACGATTAGCACCTATGCCAAAAATGGAAAAATTCTGCATGCTCCGTAAGGATTGGTCATGGTTTTATATGTCCTGAAAGTCGGCTGAAACAGTCACTATATTAGAAACATTATTTGTGGGAGCAACATGAATACTGGCATGGCACTACACTGGCAACAAGCAAATTAATTTGCCATGTCATTCATGCTAATACTATTTGTTTGTACAGACTATTATGCTGGTTTTGTTATTAATATTCTCCATTTTTCATGGTCCTACCATATTTAACAAGAGCTGTCCGTAAGACAGCGCGCTCGACTTTTTTATTGCTTGCCAATAAAAAAAGTTTTTGCAGTAAAAGGCAATACAAGAATCTCTGTATTTTTAAAGTGAACAATGGCCATGAGCAAATCCTTGACAGAGTTACCTTCTCTTGCGTACAGATGGGGGTAATGATGTGAAATAGCATTAAAAGTTTCAAAGCAATATCTCAAAGGGTTAAGGCAATAAGTGGATTTTACCCATATTCAATGTATTTTCTAAGTCAAAAAGGGGCATAATTCTGTCAAAAACCTTGACAGAGTTATGTCCTCTTGTCTGTTGATGAAGGTCGTGATGGTAAACAAGTATGGTCAGTTTCAAAGCAATACCTCCAATGGTTTTGAAATAAAGTGAGGTGGTACAAAAAACTTAACCAAGCTCAATACACTTTCTAAGTCAAAAAAGGGCCATAATTCTGTCAAAAACCTTGACAGAGTTATGTACTCTTGTCTGTAGATGGAGGTTATGATGGTGAACAAGTATGGTAAGTTTCAAAGCCATACTTGTAATACTTCTGAAATAAAGTGGGGTGGTACGAAAAACTTAACCAAGGTGTGACGCCAACGCCGACGCCGACGCCGGGGCGAGTAGGATAGCTCCCCTTTTCATAGAAAAGTCGAGCTAAAAATTGGCCAAAAGTTCTCATAGATATTTTATGCACAATAGTGATTTCAGAAAAATGTGGATGATAAAAAATGCCAATGAAAACAGACTGTTTTCTCAAACACAAAATATTATGGTTTACTGACATGTTATGTCTTTGACTCTAATGTGTTTACACATCAACAGATTGTTTTATAAATATAACAGCTTTCAAGTGCTAATCTATATAAAGTACAATACCCTGTGATCTTCTTTACTACAAATCTATAAGTATATTATAACATGTGTGCAAGCTTCCATGGCATCAAATAATACTACATTTCTTCTAATGTTTAAAGGCCATTATCCAATGTCAAGGTAAGGAAAGGCTAAAAATTAAAACCCAAAGCCCACATTAAACACAACTACATTCTGGTAAAGGTTAAATGTTAAAATCCACAGCCCAAGTCAAACTTTATAATCATAATTCTGTTCAAACCTAAAACAGCAGTCAAACCCAACTTTTGTGCACTATGTTTTTTGGCTAAAAATTGCAAACCTTTTTAAAACCTTTTTTTTAACTTGTTCCATAGCATAATTTGTTCCTCAATTGTTGAATTTGTTTGTTTGTTTCATTTTACACCTTTTCCCAACAGTATTTCAGTCATATAGACGGGTAGTTTCCAAACCATCGTTTCTTGAGAGTTACACCAGTACTAGACTAGCTTCCTCCGCGCTAAACTACCGAAGCATCTCCCGGGGATCGAACCCACGCCAGAGAGGTAACTGGATTTGAAGTTATTGACTCTAACCCCTTGACCACGGAGGCGGTTGAATGAGTTCTTTAAATATCCAGTGAAATGAACAATAGGACACTACATAACCAGGACAGGACAAAAGGAAATGGATAGAATAAGGAACAGCATAACTAGGACAGAACAAAAAGGAAATGGATATACTAAGGACAAAATTATAGGACAAGGTAGAAAGCTACAGCATCAAACAACAAGACATGCATACAGAACATGGCAAATACAATAAAAACAAGAACAGGCTTACCGAAAGCCATAAAACAATAAGATGGAAAAGGATAGGAGCAGAACATAAGTATGTAGAGACAACAATAACTGGACACAACAAGAATGGAAAGAGGACATACCTGGTAAAGTTTGACTATATGTTGATGATTCAAAAGCTTCATGATTGTAACTTCGCGATAAACTTTTTTCAAATTTGCTTCATCAAGTCGGGTCTTGTCAATTATCTTTATGGCAACCTGAAACAAAGAGAAGTAAGAACTGTCAAGATATAGAACATGTACACATAATGAAAGCTGTCACCAGTTGCATGTATCTTACAATGTACTGCTTCAAAAGACGAATTCGGGAATTATGAATATTTGGGGGTTTTTCCCCAGCTAATTTGTAGGTACAAACAAACTTTCACAGTTACAGCTTCAAAAATAAGCACAACAGGTTGACTAATCTATTGTGACAGGTAGTGCACCATGAAGCTTTAATGGTAAAAGTAAGTTTGTACCATCAGATTAGCTGGAATGCCAAGTTCCGGATAACATCATGATCTATTCTTAGCATATTTCCAACAATTAATAAAACCAAGTTAACTTTCATTTGTGCAATGAATAGGAAACTGTCCAGATTTGTTTGTTTTCTCAGATTTTATAACACATTAACATTATAATACATTATATATTCCTATGAATTTGAAAATTATGTGTATTTCAAACAACCTAGTCCTGATACCGGATAGATATATACATATATAATTATATATATATATATATATATATGTAACTTAAGGTATAATATAGTTTATTGAAAGGTGAAAATAATAAATTAAAATATATATAAGAAGTACTGAACTGCTTTGATACCTGTATACTTATTTTATTCAGAATTTTGATATCCTAAATTAATATAATTATGTTAAGCTTTACCCTGTTGGCAGCAGGTGAATCTACCCATGTGACCAGTGCAGACCATGATCAACCGACACTTCAAATTCAAATTCTTTATTTCTCTCAGTGCATCATACATGATACAAACATAAGGTATATAACAATTAACATTTGTAAAAACGGCAATACATACATGGCAAGTCATTTACAGAGAACAGCGCCATCTGATCATTGTCTGCACTGATCACTAATGAGTCAGTACACATTTTTAAATTTCCCCCTAAAATGATGAATGGTTTTGTCCAAATTGGAAGTCGGGCAAGCCCATTTATTATATTTAGGCTGGTAATAGGGTAAAATGTGAATGTGATATCACATGTCTTAAGTTGGTTGCGTTATCTTGCTGTAAACTTCACAACTTCCCTGTACAAATTGCAGGTGACCAATAATCATACAATGGAAGTTTTAAACAAAATTTGGAAAAGTTTCAAAATCAATTGATCTATAGCGTTAACGGTTATTTAAATACGTAGAGCATGCCTGTATTGTAAATTATAAAGTTGAATAAATGGGGATTGATTTAAGTTTAATGCATGGTGTGGGTGGAAGGCATTTGTATACATTATTGGTCATATATATAGGTTATTTCTATATTACAACAAACTTCCTACACCTTTTATTGAGAACGGTTCAACCGTTCACTAAAAAAGGAACTCTTTAATAGAGTTGTTTACTTTAAAATAAAAAGTTTTGAAGTTTAAATTTGATACAAAAAAATTATTTCATTAATAATACAGGCAGCTAATGTAGACATAAATTTTATATTGTTGGACTAAAAAAATCGCATCAAGAATTGCATTAAAATTGAAACAACAAAAATGTTAAGTTATAACAAATATTTACAAACAAGATAACTTTGATGAAGAGTAGAAAACAAAAGAGAGACTTGTTATGTGCAAAAGCTGTCAAGTGAAACATTTTATCTTTTCACTTCCTGACATTTCAGTTTTAAAGCAGCCAGGTCATATATGCATGCAGAAAAAAAAGGAGCTACATAAAAAAGGATTCTGTTTTAGGTTTTCCTACCTACCCATTTTTAAACTGTGGACACTAAGACTTTTAACTTATATTGCTGAATTTTCTGCATTTACAATATAGATGTACATAAAGTTGTTTCTGTCATATTATAAATTTTATACTTAACATTTACAACCAGGGATATACTCATCATTTACAACCAGGGGCATAGTTTGGTCTTAATATAATTATCTGCCATCTGAACTGAATGTTTATCCTGACAAAATAGCCCAATATAAGCAGGGTTGTTTTTTTCTGGCCCATTTGGATGACCTGTATTCGGTCATGTTCACAATGCCAAAAAGTTTTTTTTCCCAATTTCAAGAAGGAAATTCCAAATTCAAGGAATAAGTAAAATTATTGTCATTTTGTTACATTTAACTTCCACAATGCAATATAATTTATTAAATTGTAATATGTGCTCATGAGTAAAATATAAAAGAAAATAAATTAACTAAATATATCTTTGTCTTATTTGATGTATACAATATGTTCATTATGTTGTCATTTTTTTTCCAAATTTGTCTAAAACATTGTAAAAATTCCTGACCTTGGGTCATGTTCCAGAAATTGCTGAGAAAAAAAAACCCTAAAAGGACATCAAACCATCAATCGAGAGAAAAGTATTTTATAGTCTGCATTGAATTTTGGATTTCCATTGAAATGAGCATTAGAATTCATCATATTACATACATGTTTACATATATTTTAGTTTTAATTATAATGAGTAGTTAAAATTTAAGCTAAAACTTTTATATTTTTAATAATAGACATATGTTTGTATTTTGCATGTATTTGACAAGAAAACAATAAATTTTAACATATTCTTAATCTTTCACAATAGTTCAACAATGATACACTCCTTAATTGATACATTGGTCCACCAACTAAAATTTCATTGGCCTTCAGGTTACAAATGGTAACCAATTTCAGCAGAATGTGATGGCATTGAACCACATTTATAAATGATGATGGGGATTGTATAAAATGTATCAAAAATGCACTTAATGACTTATTGTATGAATTAATTATATACATAACAAACTGTTGATAAATATCATTGATAACAATAATATACTAATGTTATCACATTGATAAAATCATAAATTCAGAATGCAAAAGTCTCCATTAAAACACTGTGCATAAAATTGATCAAAACATTTTTGTTAATGCTGGCATTGGTCATCCCCCCCCCCCCAGTTCTATCATTAGACTACTACTACTGGAACTTCTATTAGTGGACACTTGATGAAATAAATATTGTGGTGATGGTAAAATCCCTACCAGTACCAATGCCCCTGCAATGTGTTTTAAGCTCTATTTGTGGCTGTTTTTTGTACAAAGTGAAACCACTGCTCAACCCTGCATAGGTGGAACCGCTAGAGCCAACTTATCCCACACACCCCTCTGATGGAAAGGACCATAATTAAAATTGGAGAAAATTCAGTAAAAAAACGCTTTCATGTTGCTAGTAAAATTTCAAATAAATGTTCAAAATCTACATTAAGGTGCAGTCTCCTTTACAAATCTTAATTTGCAGGGGATATCTTAACTTTGCTCTGTTGACAACAGTATAATACATGTAGTCTAGTTCATTCAAATTGAAACTTGACAAGAAATTATAGCCATTATATTAAAAACACAATTATTAATTGAAGAAGCTTAATTATCATATGGTAGATCTACTCAAGAATTAATGAAATACACAGAACAATAAAGCAGATAAATCAAACACCGGTACATCAGTCCAAATACTTCATTAGTTTATATGATTTTAAATACATTTCACATGTACAACATCATTTTTACTCAAATTCAACTTCCGGTTTTTAAAGAAAATAAACACGATAAATACAATGAAAATTCAATATAATGCTGATCATACTTTTTGTTATCTGATAACGATAATGTGCATGTGAACTGGCCAAATTATCGAGACAGATGGGTTGTCGTGATTTAAATAACACTACACCTTTGTCTCACCTCAGTTTTCGTGATTCTGTGCTTAGCCAATTTTACCACAGCGAAGTTTCCTTTTCCAATTGTGCGTTCTATTTCATAAAATCCGACCCGCACTTGCGCCTTAGATCTCTCCGCCATGACCATTGTTTACCTAGGTGGTCTAGTCCAAGACATATATTGCAAATCACAGACATTCAAAAGTTTTCTATCACTTTTCACTGTTTTCAACATAACTTCTACATGTAGATAGTGCCCGTGACGTCAGAACTACGCCAGAGTTAAAGTAAAGCTAGGAACACTGATTCGTGTTGTAGTTTCGCATCCGATGGTTGCTAAGGGGGTGACGTACTTTGACGCATTTGGAAACGCTAGTTCAAATACATGAAGTTGTTCAGTGTTCACTATCAAATACTATTGAGCGCAAGGTTGAACAAACTAACTTAAAGGGGGGAAACTTCTACGTTCGATTTAATCTATCTTAACGTTCAAGTCTGATGATTCTGGACCAGATAATGACCTTTGATTAAAAAAGAATCTAGACTAGATCAAGAATTATATTTAAGTGATCTAGGTGTAGATCTAGATTTTGATCTAGATCTACTTTTGGTATAACATCAAGTCGGCTACTATTAAGTTCAGATTTATTATTAAAATAACAAATAGACAATCTAGAACCTCTAGCGACTAGATTTATATATTATCGCCTATGTAAATTAAAAATTAACAATAGATCTAGATTTCTATATAGAGATATAATTAAACAATTGCTTACTGTAAATGAAACAGATGAATTTAAGTTTCTTGTGGGTATTGACAATACAATTTAAAACTGTCGCTCAAGTTTTAAAAATTTAGATCCTATATGTAGATTTACAGTCAATGTTTTTGCTGATAGTAAGAGAGTTAGCTTAGAATCTCTCGCTGCAGTTTAACAACAATATTATTGTTATTAAATCTTTATGATAAAATGACAGTTTAACTTGGTCATAATATGATGACACATTTTCTCAACTGAAGCAGCCTAGCTAGCTTTATCCTTTCCTGGCCTATAGATGCAGAAGAGGGCACTAATGAATATACTAAATAAGGGAACCCCCAGAAATACCAAAGCTAGATGAAATAGCATAAATTTGTAAAAGAAAGTGAAATAGCACAATTATTAAATTTGTCAACATTAATTAATAAACAATTTATATGATTTTCGTTGAATCATTTTGCAGTTTGGTAGATCTATTTGTCTTAAAATAACCTTGAATATGTTTGCAACAAAAATGCTTGAAGTTTGAAATACGTTTGGAATCAAAATGCGCTCAAGAACAATATAGTTTGTGCATATCTACTGAAAGATTAATAGGAATATAATTATACAAATTAAAACATTTTAACGATATTGATCAAAACATATTTTGTCTTATTTGATATATGAACTTGAACCAAGTGGAAAACCTTTCACGTTCTGACCCTAGGAAGTTCGACATGTTCAAGAGCTCCGGAGATCTCTAAATGGATTCTCTTCTCATTGTGTGGAAATATTTCATTTTTTTCATTAGACCATATATAGATCTAAATAGATCTAGGCCAGTATTTCCACCAATTGTACAAAGCGCACTGGTCTACATGTAGTATTAATTTTGTTTTGTCGCTACTTGTTTATCTAAAACATAACATTATATAAGAGCTAATGAAATTGCCAGCTATAAGTCTACGTCTATTATATAATTCTAATTAACTATTGAAAATATGGACTTATGTTCAGAACCGGGCCCCTTGAATTGGTTAAAGCCTTATAGTAGATTGCTCAAGATAATTTTGTTCCTTTGTACCAAATGGTGTGCCAACAGTAGAGCTCTCGTTGATCCATTTAAAGCCAGAATTTTAACAGACAATTTTTTACTAATCGACGACCTCGTGTCAATAAACGAATCTATATAAATTTGACCGAGATCATGGAGATGAGACTAGACTAATGTCAAGTTACTTATATATCTAAACGTCTTCATTTGACTTGGATTTCTTTTATTTTTAAAATCAAGTCACACCGGTATTTATAACGAATCTAAAATAATATTGGTATGTTTAAAACGTAAATGATATTTCGTTTCACAAAACACAAGGAAATAGAAAAGTAGGGCCTGTATAGTAGGGATCTAGACTTATTAGGAGCCAAACATTGATTTTCTATTTACACAATGAACGGAGATGTTAACTGTCAATAACGATAACTACTGTCAGTGTCAGATAATTTTGTTTTCTCTGCTGAAGTAGCCACGATTACGTCTTTATCATAATAATTGGCTAGTGATCACCAATAAGTATTTTATAAGTATTTTAAAGCAGTTATCTGCTGGTGACATTTTTGATGTATATTATTTATTTTTGGTAAAACATAACCGATTGATAAAATGTATTTAGTACTTTTTGAGTTATCACATGCCCCAGTTCTGGCGGACAGATGAACAGACAGGGCAAACCTAAAGTGCCCATAGGTTATACCGCAGTTTTGTTACGGACGGACGGACGGACGGACAGTCAGTACTTATGTGATTCCGCCAATTTCTCTGTATTGTACTTTTTAGCTCATAACGAAAAAAAAAACGACATAAAAGTTTACGGAATGAATAACATCAAAAAAGAAGTACAGTTACCAATTGTTATGTATTTATTTTCTTAAAATTTCCTATATTTGACTATGAACACTGAAATTTTCTTTTAATCTTATTTGGAACAATACCCATGTTAATTCAAAAGTTGGTTTTGATGTGAGTATCAGAATTCTGCCGCGTTATTTGGCTTATTACGCATACAACACATTTTTGTCTGAAAGTTAGAAGTAACGCAGTCCTGTTTTGTCCAGAAATCGCTGACAAGCTATAGCAAGCAATGAACAGTACATTGTAATAGGACTACAAAATGTTGTCCACGGCTACAGTTCTATCCGAGTGGAATTTCCACATTGTGGAGTGGTTCAGTGCCGTAGAAGATCAGCAGAACGGCGATTGGAACAAAATATATTTGAGATCAAATTCAACCAGCAAAATCTCAATACATGTAAATGCATCTCTACCACTCAGTCAAAATTGTCTCTCTGCAGAGATGGCACATTGTCTGTGTTTACCACATACACACTATATCATTTTACTATTGTGCTTTAATTACACATTTTCTGTATTTGACATTTCAATTATTTTTTTTATATAGATAACTTATACTATAAAACATTTAACTGAAGTATGTTTTTATACACGTTACTATAGTTATGTCTATTTATAAGCGACATGTATTATTTTTTATATTACTGAGATAAAAGTAGATAGATACCTGGTCTTTTAATAGCGGATGACAACAACAAAAATAAGTGTATGGCAGAAAATATGAAAGAAGAAACAAGCGGCAAATAAAGAAAAATATAATTCATAGAAATATATTAAGATGTTATAATTAAAATTATAGTTAAAATGGTAAGGAAAAGCTTGATTTTTAGACGTATTTTACAAAAGTTTAATATGTAAAGGAATTAGGAGGGTAAACTAATGCCTTATGTATCATATATCAGTTTGTAACTGACAAGTGGTAAGAAACTTAATATGCTGAAATAAGAATGTATGAATCAAAGTTATTTGAGTACAGAAATGATGTTACCAAGTTCCATTATTATACCGCCATTTTCATATTGACTTCTGCATATAAGCCGGTGTTTGGCTTGCATATACCACTGTTGTCTATCAACAGTCAAACCGAGCTTGCAGCATTTTTATTTTGGCATTTTGGACATTATCTAAGGTATCTACGAGAGCCTAAGTAAATATGTATGAATTAAATTTTTTATCATATTATAAAGAACTATAAGTGAGACATTTTTATTTTTTATAGAGAAATATTAACAAACAGCAAAATGATGACAAAATGTATCTTTATAGCCCTTAGGCTTTAGTGTTCATATAAAATGTAATATAATCTAATATTGCTATTGACATTTCTTTGTGCACATCCCTGTTTTGCCATCTTGTTGATTATAATCTCTACGAAATAAGTGCCAGTTATTGTTTTAATATATACGTTGTAGCTAAGAAAATTACTTAAGGCAAGTGTTGGCCTTTCCGGTAGTTGATGGTTGAATACTGTTTAATCCGGTACAAGGGGGGCGCGAAAGATGTTACATCTTTCATTATCTCTCATGTACCAAACCGAGTCTGCACTTTACATTGCTCTAGATGAATATCCACACAGTTTTTTTTTAAATATTTCAAATAATGGCAAAACTGTTTTACAATAACTGCAATATTATGAGGTTAATTATTATGAGCCGCTCACGAAAAAACCCCAACATAATGGTTTGCGACCACATGGACCCAGACACCTGCGCATCCGCCGTCTGATCAGGACCCATCTGTTGCTGTTGTTCTCTATTGTAAAGGGTTGCTAACCAAAGCGAAAAATTAAAGTGTTTGGGTCAAAAAAAAGGGTTTTGAAAGGGGTGACTACCACATTTGCTCACTAAGGAGCAAAAGAAACAGCGTCTTAAGACTGTACAAGAACGTCTGAAAACATACTAAGACTGCGATATTTGAGTTATTTCTAACTGACTAAAAATGAAACTTTGGTGCACAATTTTGAGCCTCAAAGAGACCAATTGCAAACAGTGTGCTTCAGAAAGGTAACAAAACGGCCCTTTATTGCCAAAAAGACCATCAGTACAAACAATAAGTTGTAAACCATCCGCTAAATTCTCCTTACTTAACTCCCTGCGGCCTTTTTCTGTTTCCCAGGCTTACCTTGCTTATTCCATTACCGTCCATGAACAGGCTCAATCAAACCGAGTCTGCAACATTTTCAATTTTGTCGTTTTGTATGTTTTTTAGGAATTCTTTATTTCTTCCTATTTTATCGCCACGCCAGCGTTTTTTTGTGCAATGTGGAGTCTGTAAAAAGTCGCCCCGTACATTCAATCAAGGATGTTATATTTTCGATCCTAAAAGATCGTTCAGCACGACATTATCGTTGTGATTGTGGTATTTTAGTTCTTTCCATGCGGTTCTTTTCTTGTTGGGTGGTTGAATACTGTTGAATCATCCTTAGGATATGTGGCCTGCTTTTTAAATTTATTTTTTGACGTTTTATCTGTGATATTGACGTCTTAACCTCTGATCCCCTTTCAAAATTCCATTTTATTTAGTTCCGCCCATTGTATTATCGTTTAGGGAAAACGCATTTTCTACTTGGGAACCATATGCTACTTTTCTAACGTATCACATTGAAGGTTACATATTAACTGCGGATGTTTCAAAATCCCAAAATTAACAGTTCATGTTGAATATTGAAT